CCCCCTATAACACTGTTGATTATTCCGTTTTATATGAATTCCATGTTGTACGAGTCACTTAGATTTTACAAATACGCGTGCCTGGCTGTGAACGGCTCATGTATTTGTAAAATCTAAGTGACTCGTACAACATGGAATTCATATAAAACGGAATAATCAACAGTGTTATAGGGGGTCGACTGTAGATAATTTCAGAGGTCCAATATACATTCTGATGTTAAGCTTGATCGAGATGGAATCGAGAAGTACGGCTGTATGACTAGTTGTTTCGTGCATAAGATTTGAAATATTCGAGGGTTTTTGAATTCAATTTAATCCACATTACTTGTCTATACGCGCTCGTCTAATATATAGAAAATTCATGAAATTTTTACGATTGTTTTAGAGATCCGAAATGATTTTAAAATACGTAATTCATTGATGCTATAACAATTTTATTTTTTAAAATAAAAACAAGAATGTCTACACCACTTTCTAAGATACCTTTTTATATTAGAATATAGTGCCATTCCGAGATCAATTATAAATTTCGGGAACATGTTCTATGATATTTTCGGGGTGTAATATAACTAATACGGTGTTAATATTTGTATACGTGTTGTTTTTATTGTATAAAAGGGTATTTTGATTTTGATTTTTTAAAAAAAATTATGAAATTAGGCTTTCTGACAGACACTAAATGTCTATAGGCCATAACTATGCTAAAGGCTTAGTTATATAGACATTTAGTGACGTATAGACCTATAACTATAATATCAGCTAAACGTAAATGCATTTAGAGGTTTACGTAACTACGCTAACGACTAAATGCATAGTTACGCAGGTATTTATGGCATAATTTAATGAGGGATGGCTGGCGAATTGCATTTGAGAGGAAGTAATTTTTAAAGGTTTATATTCAAATGGGGTTCTCAGTCGAAATATTTTAATTATTAGACTTAGTTGTGGTATGTAATCCCGGAGAGTAGACATTCATCGGACGAAGTGGCAAGCTAATAAAATATCAGCGTCGTTTATAGCCAACGCGTGAACAATGAACTACGAGAAGAGCATACACATCAAGCAAACTGACGAAGTAAAAAAAGTGCTCATGAACATGAGCAGTTATCATTAACCCTTTCGCCCGATACAGTCGATAGCTTTGTAGAAATAGCCCCGCGAGTAATGCGTGCTCGAGTAGATCCGGGACGGGATTTGACTCCATCCCCCTTAATTTTGGTTGCTATGAGGGGAAAGTGGGAGACTGTGGGATGTCATGTGCCATTACAGTACTCGGTCCGGGTTAAGGAGATAAGTATGCGGAGGTCGGGTGGTCACGAACTAAACTTTTCAACGCAACCAAAGATGATGTGAAAGGACCGATTCGTCGCCCGCTACGATGACGATACACGTAGAAAATCTTTCACGTATGTGAAATTTATAAGTGGAAGACAACTAAAAACATCCGCTCCTTTTTTTTTATAAGTTAGATTTATGACTAACCGAATTCAACCATACATTTTCGTATATAGTTTGAATGATATAGAATAATAAGATATAAAAAAAAAATGTATCCGATTATCATCCTTATCAGTTCTTTATCCTTTAACGTAAGCCAAGGTGCTAATTTCCTCTATTGAATGTCATATTTGTTAGAGAATATGGGACGTGATAGAGGAACCACTCGCTTGTCGTAAGTTAAAAATGATAGGATCAAAAGTTGTCAGACAAAGAGACGCATCACTTCTTGTATGTCAGTTTGATATACAATGATGAGATATGAAGATGATGGAATGAACGATTGGACTAGTAGATAGCGTCGGTATTTCATGAGTTTGTGGACAGCAGTTGCTGCTCAATACATCATCCGCAACTCAACCCTCTCCATCCTTAAGAGCCGCTTAATATCACCTACAACAACTCTCCTAAATATATATAAGATAGGCGGGTGTAGTGACCTATACTGTATTCGAGTCCGTGTCAAGTAATGAACTTAATTTTCTAACTGTAATTTTCGGGACGATCGTGAAAACGTTACGTTCTGTACCGATCTTCATTAAGGAGTTTGGATGACCAGAAAGTCATTCATCATCTATGACCTCCGTGTCTGAAATGATGGGTATCGCCTCAGGACTTTTCCTCACCGGAGTTACCTGAATTGAGACACGACCGAAGTGACTTGATCATAAGCACTAATTGAGGTCAAATTCATTTAATTAGTTCATTATTACAACCTATATAAAGCTAGAGTTAAAGAACTTCCGTCCTTTAACAACACGCTTCTTAACATGCAATTACAACTCGTGTTAAACTTAATGTTCTTAGGTTCCTTTCTTTTATTATAGTCTATTTATTTCTAATTTATTTCTAAAATTTTACAATTAGCCTGTATAAAATATATAATTTTCCAAAAGAATAATTTACATTAATCTTAAAAAAAAATCGAAATTTTTATTTTGATTTCGATAAATTCTTAAATAAAATTCCAAAAACCAAAGATAAAAATCACATAACATAATCATACAACATAAAACACGAGTAAACAATAATAACTGTAAAACTGGACATAAAAAACAATTTATAATCTGTAAAATAACAGATAAAAAAAATGTAAGAATAAAGAGAGAGAGAGAAAAAAAAAAGATAAGGTCAAAAATCTGATGTCCATGATTTATGAATGCAATTTTAATCCCAGAAGAGAGAAGTGTATATATATATCTTTAAAGGTGTACTATGAATATAAAATATAAAAATTCATCACGAAAATGATAGAGAAACAATTTACTTATCTATCAAACAGTAAATAAAACATCGGCAATTTTCTAAATTGTACTGTACACAAGCAGGTATATATGTGTGTGCATATATATATATTTTAACGACAGTTCTACAAGCAAATATATCAGTATTCTGATCTGCTAGGAGCATTAAATATGCAGGTTGAACGAGCACGATTCGCACTTAACTATCTTTTAAACAATGGATAGTTTTGCATCATTTTTTCAGATGGAATTCAGAAAGAAAACCACGAAGAGTTAACTGAAAGATGCTTTATTGTTTCTATAGTAATAACTCGATAATTATCCAATTATATTTTTATAATTATCAGAGTTTAAAAGTGGTCATAGCGGTAGTGTTAAATTTATTGCTCGTGAGTTCATATTTTCTTTAAATTCTTTCCAACCGGTGAATCGTTATCTCTCTGGTTTGTTTTGCAAGTTATCATCTAGAACGTCAATCGATTAAAAGGTATTGCTAATTAAAATAATTAATTTTATATAATATTATTCGGCTAGAATGAATATAATTAGAAAATTACATAAAATTTCTTATTAAAGAAATCTTTAAAATGATCAGAAGATGATGCACGGATGATCAGAAAAATGCCACAAGAATGATCAAAAAATACCGAAAAATNGGTTTTACCAGGATGCTTAATAATAATAATAATTTATTTAACAGAATTTATCCTTTAATAAATAGAATTTATTAATAAAAAATTAAAATAATTAATTTTATATAATATTATTCGGCTAGAATGAATATAATTAGAAAATTACATAAAATTTCTTATTAAAGAAATCTTTAAAATGATCAGAAGATGATGCACGGATGATCAGAAAAATGCCACAAGAATGATCAAAAAATACCGAAAAATGATTGCAGGTATTACTAGAACAATGCCACAGAAATGATCAGAAATACACCATAAAAGTAATTAGAAAAATGCTATCAAAAATAATTACATAAAAAAAAAAATTTCATGGAATAGAAACACGCCATAGAAAACGATCAGAAAAATACCATTAAAAAAAGAATCGTGAGAATTATTAGAAAAGATATTTTTATCAAAGTCACCTCTTAGCAATTTCTTTAATTCACTCATTTATTTTCGCATCTTCAAACACAGAATTACACGTTTGTAATTCTGGATAACTACAATTCCGTTCTTAGCGCCATATTCCGATTTTAATGCCCGAAGCCATCACGATCTTACGTTGTTGTTATAAATTGCTCGGGAGGTCAAACAAACAACGGGACAGAACACTTACCAAAGTAACAGCTGCGACCATCGACAGATAAAATCGTAATCACGATTCTCTTTCTAAACACGACATTAACTCGACAGTCTCGATCGATCCTCGATTCTTAGTTCTCTGGATCGACACTAGGAGGATCGATCTTTCGATACAATACTTTTTATTCTAATGTGTATAATGATGTTGCCATCTTTGCTTCGGGCTATTTCTTTCGTCTACTATTTTTTTTTTTTTTTTTTTTTATAAATTAAAAATCTCTAAGTTTTTTTTGTGGGGTTTGTTTTAATTCTAAATAAATTTAAATGTAATAATATATTAATTAAAGTTTAAAATGTTTAGGCTAAATCTTTTATACTATTTAGCGAAAGTAACAGTATATTAAGGGTCCTTTATTCTGTGCATTTTAGCAAAATTTAAATTCGAATAATACTCTATTTTCGATAATATTTTACTTTATTACAACGTAAATTACGGTAGAAACACTATTATAAACTTTTTGTAATGGCGTCGGGAGATTATAAAGACTTTGGAATGAAACACTTCGATTCACTTCAATGAACAAAGTTTTTCTTTGGAGTTTTTTCATTTCTTTGAATCTAAATTCTTTTGACAATTGTTTCAACTGTCCTCCAATGAACTTTCACTACATTTTATATAACACACACACATCTTAGATCTTATATAGGCCTATATTATACAGCTGTATTATTAAATATTAATAATTAATTAATTAAAAACTAAGAAAATAATAAATAAATAGTCGAATATTTTATTATAGAATAAATATTATTTTAAAAATGCTTTAAAATACTCGATTTTTGAATGGGTATTATATATTATATTACATTCAAATTTATTTTCCCATAATTTAATTACGTTAAATTTAGTATTTTTAAAATAAAAAGTACGTTTTAGAGCATAAAATATTAATTTTCATTTTTATTTATTTATTAAAAGTATTATAATGTAAATAGTAATACGCAAACAGCAAAATTTTAGCAAGGCTTTTCTCGGTGGCGGGTTATAGCTTGACCAATTTGAATTACAGGGCCTGGCGTACAGTGTTGACTTCAGACATTTTTCTTCGGTTAGAAGTATAAAAAAAAAAAACATTTATATATGAAATACAGTAGCAATTTCGCGATTAAAACGTTTAAAATATGTAACAGTCGGTTATAAGTTAACAGGTAATTATTACTTTAGTGCTCTCAAAGCATAAAAATAAGAGTCCTATTCCTTACCATCATCGTGTAACTAAGCTGTTTTAGGATTCTGGTTCCTCTGGAATGGCCCCTAAGAATTTCACTTCGGTTTTATTATTTCGTAAAGTTCTTGGGGGCCATTTAGCCTTCTGGGAAACCAAGATTCCCTGTTCCTGTCTAGTTATTCCTGACAACCTGGGCAGCTCTCGTTGTGGGTTAAGCTTTGCCCATAATGGGTATAATTTGATCCCAGCCACATATAATTCAACTGTACTAAAACCATAATATTAGACTAATTCTATTCGTGAATAAAAAACTGTTCTGATACATTTAACAGTATAAAATAACAAGTTCGGATGAAAAGAACATGATAACAAGTGATTATTATTTCTATTATCGTGTTCATACAGCTTTTGTGAATACATTTTCATGAATTCCAATGATCCATTTCACCACTATTACCCTACATTAACTAATAATTAAATAAAACATCAAAATTCAAATTTATCTTTTAATAATATGTATGAAATACCTGTATATATAAATTGCTTTTCTAGGTAAGATTAAATTTACCTTTTACTCCTTGTGTTTTAATTATAAGTTGAGAGTATTTGTATTTTTATTAATTAACGGAAGTGTTGTATGATCTTGTGTAATTTTTGTATGTTTTTTCCGGCATCATGGTTTTACCAGGATGCTTAATAATAATAATAATTTATTTAACAGAATTTATCCTTTAATAAATAGAATTTATTAATAAAAAATTAAAATAATTAAAAATAATGGGAATAATCTCGGCTTATCCTGCTGTATTAAAGCCACTTTACCAGGCAACGTGCCCGCTATGAAAATGTTAGTGAAAATGACTCCCTATTATGGCCCACTATTAACGAGAAACTACAGAATTTTATGTGAAATAGTTTCGAGTCGTCACGACTATATTGTCTCGAGTTAGAGATATATAGACACATTCAAATACACGAACATATCTATGATATATCAAAACTAATATAAGATATCCACTTAAACATCAATCCAGGTCAAAAGAGATCTTTCCAGCATTGCACAAGTGCATGTGTGTGGTGCAATATTGTTCCAGTAGTACTTGTTCCACAATCCTTCCGTAGTTGTGCCAACGGTAATCATCAAGCCATTTCGTTCATCATCGTGTTTAGGATGTACAGATATCGGGTGTACATCTGTACATCGGGGACTAAAAAGTTGCTCACTCCAAATTCCACACCTGATATCTCAAGTAAAATGCACTTGGTGTTGCGTATGTTGTGTGCATGGCGTATTACGCTCATTGTAAGTTATACACTTCATTCCGGGAAACAATGCCTCGTCATACTAAAAATTTAACATCATGTTGCATCGCTGAAATCGCTGTTGGCATCTTCTGCATGCGGCACGGCGATTAGCTGTAGATAGCAACAAAATGGATGCGTGTCGCGGCGACATAACATCCTTTTCATTTTATTCTTTCTGCCCTGTGGGCATTAAGAGACCCTTCTTTTAGTAAGCCCAAAATGGCGGGGTAGTGAGGGACGAAGCCAGATATATCCGGACGGACCACCCAAAAAATTTCTGGAGTTATTCGACCCATCTAGATTTGATACCAGGTACATCTTAACGTCTCGGTCAACGCGATGTAATGTTCGGTACTTTGGTAAAGTTTAAATTATTTAATACATCGAGATTAATGTCACGCACTCCGCATTTCAGATAATTTGACGCAACGCTATTGTAATGATGTCATAACTCACACATTCAAGATGGAGGAGGAAGCGATTGATGACGTACTGTACATCTCAAATTGATTGATATTGGTTTAAGAAATTCCTTTTCCGAATTCTGTAGATAGTAGCATAACTAAGATTTTCCTGTGGGATACTCTAGGATCTAAAAAGTACAATCAGAATAAAGAATTCAGTATCCTTGGCTCCTAGCTAGTATATAACTAAGCGATTGAATAACCGAGCAGTCGTTTTATTATTATAACTAGCAGATGAGCCCGGCGTTGCTCAGGCAAGTTTAATTCTTATTATAATGGAGGATTAACTTACTTGAATAAAATGATTATTTTAAATTCGAAAAAAAATTTGTTTGGAACATTATATTTCGAATTTGGAACGAATTCAAATATTCATTCGAATTCGTTTATTTTGGATTTATTGTTTATGAGTTACCCGAAGAGTGGAAATGATTAAAATATTTATTAATTTCCAAAATGTATACCATATGTGCCATTATTTACTTTCCTTCTTTATTATTTACACTTTATACTTACTAAAACTAATTCTATCCTCCTCTTCCCTCGGTGGGTGGAAATTCCAAAAACCCTTCTCAATGTGCATTTCATGGCATACTCTATCAAAACGCAGTCAAAAACGCAAAAAATCGCATCAGTACAAATAGCACAGTAGAAGCTGAGTTTTTTAGGATGCCTTAATTCTCTCCCTCTCCCCTGCGGGGGGAATCTCGAAAAATTCCTTCTCAGTGTACACTCTCGTGATGTACTGTACCCGGTGTACCAAATTTCAACTCCTAACCGTTTGGGCTCTGCGCTTATTATCAACCCATCTCGATTATATTATAAGATAATAAACGAAATAATTGATTGATATTGAATTATTCATTAATAGAATGTAATTTTAGATTTGTTATTTAAGACGATTTTTTTAGTTTAAATTTTATTCCCACAGTCTCTAGGGAAGAATCCTATAAGTACCCCACATTCCGTATATCACTCCTATAAGTACCCCACAGTCCGTAAAAGAAGAGTTAAAACTTGCTCAAATTGTTTTATACAGTAGAAAAGAAATATTTCTCTAAATTTCTTTCATGATAATGGTGCTTAAGGCCTCTTTTTTTATGCCAGTCGCGCATTCGACCAAGCCCAGAGGGCTGCCACGTGATAAGAGGGGCCCAACCGTCCACGAAAAATAGTGCCGAGACGATTACGGAATATTGTAACTTTGTCCTAAGAGCAATAAGATGATCTTTATTTCCATGCCTATCAGGAGTTTGCCAGGTTCGCAAAGGGAACAGCCAATGGTGAGAGTTGAGGTGTAACGTATTCGAAACCGACTGCCCATGAAAAATTCCTGGAATTCTATCCATATTCCATCCCAAGCAGATTGATACCTTCACCATCTCGACCATTCAGCTGTTTACAATTAAGATTACATGTACGGAGCGAGCTGTTGCAATCTCATTGCCTAACAAAACAAATTCAGCAACGAATTGCTCAACTTTCCCGGCATCATTTGGTGGCGCCATCTGTTATATTTTATTATTAAAAACTTTTATAGTTTTAATTATTATAAAACAGCAAAAAGCTTAATTTTGAGGGAAGGGATGAGTTTTATAAAAATAATCCTACTAGAGATACACACGATCCCCTTTATCTCCCCACCCCCCCCGACCTTTCACCACAAAAATTTAATAGCATCAATCCCCTAATAAACAAACCTCTCTGCAAAATTTTAGAAATTTTCGACAAAAAGCACTGGTATTATTAAGCTTCAAAGAGAGTGAACAAAATCGTGCCCCACACACCCATACATACAGAAATTACCCCCAATTTTTTTGCATTTCAACATTTCAAGTTCCCAGGTCCAAAAATGTAAAAATCTTGGGTGATAATTTTTTGACCGCTTGCCATACTTTCCTTCTATTATATATAACAGCCAGGAAAGTACTAGGACAACACTGTCAATCAAAAAGTTTTGTAGTACATGGAAAAATACATACTATTATCTTGCAGTGTTTTTCAACTGCTGATCCCTGAAAAATTTTCACCAATTCACAGAAAAATATTTGAATGTACTGAAGCTGATTACAGGTAACATTTAAATAGTAATCTAGAATTACTGTAGGGATTTTGCTACATAGATTAACTCTAGATAAACACAGTATATAAGCTTAAAAATTAGCGTAATTCATAATTGCATATAATTACTTGATGAGAAAAAAAAGTTGAAAAACACTGTTTTAATGTATTCTGAAATATCAAGTACAATCCCAGAACAGGCTGTCAAATATGACAGTTATATGCTTCACTGCACAACACACAACAGTATCAGTACATCACTCCATAACACAAATGCAATGCAGAAGTGTTGAATATTTAGTCTGGCTTAGGTTAAGTGATATGGTGATTAGGTTAGTGCTATTTTATTTAATGGTGATTGACACGTTTTATTAAACCGAATCATTTACGTATCTGTATTACTGCTAACAAGCAACTGCACATTCAACCACTTCTCCATTACAGTGTATTACACAGTTGATACCCGTTGTGTGTTGTGCAGTGAAGCATCTACGTCTCAAATTTCACAGGCTGTTTCTAGGATTCCATTTAATATATTTTGGAATATGCTAAAAGTTAATAGTATGTATACTTTCATGTGCTGCATCTTTTTAATAGTAAGTGTTGTCTTATTTTCATTATGGGCTAAGATTACGAAAACCTCTGATAGAAGACTGGAGGGGGGAAAATTTGCATCATTGTTTTGCATATGCTAAATATAGTATACATATGCAAAAGCTTTGCATATGTATACTATATTGCCCTAATAATTGTGTGGAGAGACTTGTTACCATCCTATATTTGCTACTTATATTAATAATTAATGTATGATTGGATGTATGTATGTAGTTTATTGCTCACATATTCCTCTCTGTCATCTAATATACTTCTATCAAAAACATTTTTTACTTCAAGATTCTAAAAGTAATATTATAAAATGTTTAGTAAATAGTCTATAACATGCAAAATTAATATAACAAACAAAAAATACCTTGGTTAATCATATCAGTAATTTAACACATGTTATATTTAAAAACAAACAAAACTTTATTTTCAGTGACAGATATGCCTACAAATTATCCACATTTCCAAGTTTTATGCAACTCTAAATTTTAGAGGATATTCTGCATCCACTTAAACTTGTAATTTCACAATTCTTGCTTTCTTCTCTGTCACATCTTTATTGGAGGGACTGCAGTTTTTCTTCTCAGATTTTGTTGGACAACTTCCCCATAAATATACAAAACATCCCACTACTGTACATGGGAAATTCAAGTGAAAAATAAAAATCGGTCAACCTTGGGGAATCCTTCTAAAATATACAATTATGCCTAGAAGGAAAGCCAGGGTGGTCATTACATAAAGATCCCAATTTGGTCCTAAAAGACGAGTAATACTGACAGCTGGTAGCAGTTTTTCCCAGTTATACTAAAAAAATTAATTATTCAATTACTATAAAATATGTTGAAAATGATACAGTAAAACCTGTCGAAAATGGAATGTAGCAGTATTGGGTAGAGTTTTCTGTTTTGGTTATATTTCCATTTCATAAAGAATTATGTTTTTAATAATACAGGGGGGAAGTTCACAAAATGTCACAATTCACAAATTTAAAACGGCCTCTTCTCTGATGTAAATATTTTGTTTTAATGATATCTTGAGAATATCAAAACATGTATTCAATGCAGAGTAAACAAATCCTTAAGAAACCAAACACCCTTTAAATGTATTTTAATTATAATTCATCTGCTGTTATGCTAAAAATTCCACTTTACTCAAATTATGTTATGCAATTGGAACCCAAAACATCTGTTTCTGCACTATACTGCAAGATTTATTTACTATAAAGACTGATTTCCATTTCATATAGGGTCTGTTTTAGATAGGTTTTACTGTATTCAATATTTTGAAAACATCTATTTAACTTATTAATATAAAATTAATAAATAATATCTAATATTAAATTTTAATTTGCATAAACTACTACATAGTAATAAATAAAATGTATTAAATTTACCTAATTTATTCAAATTTCAGCATTTACTTTTAATATTTATTTTTAAAAATTATAATGCAATTTTTTATATTCCATCAATCTTATGTTAATCATATGTTTAACAAGTACAGTAGAGTCCTGCTAGTCTGAACCAATTGGGACCGAGCTCTGTTTGGATTAGAAGATTTTTCGGATTAGCTGAATAATTGAAATAATGCAGAAAAAAAGCAGTAAAACACGTCTGGTTTATATAGATCCGACGCCATAAATGATATCAGCACCCCACCCTTTATTTCATCTGACTTGTACTCACTCAATAGAGGGTGCAAACAGTTAACAAAAACAAGTTTTGTAATTCTAAAATAGCAACCTGCCTTCAGTGTTTACCTTAAAATTATTTTAACTGTAAAAACGTTTTTAATATGCAGTCCAGAATTCCAATCAGTTGACTGATGCTACTGTGTGATTTAGCATGCTTAATTGTGGACGTTGAATGTACTCTTCGCTCTACATTATTTTAGTTTAGTTTAGTCTGCTGCCACAATGGCCACAAAACGAAAACACACAAAATGTACATTGAAAGATAAGCTGGAGGTTTTGAAAAGGTTGTACAAGGGTGAAAGTGCAACGAAATTGGCAGTAGAGTTTGAAATGGACAAGGCTACAATAACTGACTGGAAAAACTGCACAAAGATCAAGCAGTTTTGTGCCTCTATTTCAGAAAATCAGTTGAAAATCAACAAACAGCAAGTTCCTCAATGTTTGACAAACTTGATAAAAGCCTTATTCACATGGTTCACTCAGTAAAAAGAATTGAGAACACCCTTAAGTGGGGCTCTTCTTATAGAAAATTTCCTCTCTGTCTACTGAAACATGTTTGGATTAGTGGTGTTTGGACTAGTGGGACTCTACTGTATGTTAAAATTTAAAATAATAAATTAAATTAGCCAAAAGTATTAAGTTAATTTTGTTTAATTTTTAGTTACCCATGTCAAGTTTTAAAACACAAATACTTGCATTGAGACTGTTATAATTTTATTTTATGAAAAATATAGTCTAAAAATAATTTTAAAAATTATTATTTACCTGGAAAGATATTTTCTAAAGAATATAAAAAATGAATAAAAATTTAATTTTTTTGCAAAATTGTTAATTCAGCTAATTTTGCAATTATAATAAATACAAGGTAGACATACAAAAATTATTGCATGTGTATATCTAAGTTAAATAATATGATTTTTATATAGCATTGATAAAGCATTAGAATATTTGTTATTTTTTCAAAATTTTGTTGCACATTTCCAACTTTACCATTGCTAGTTTACATTATTATTTTGTTCCTAGTGACACAATTAATAAAACAAAATAAAAACATGTACAATTTTGTTATAGTCAAAAAATATCATGTTTATAACATGGAAAAAACCAACAAAGTACTGTAATATAAATATTTGCATGACACCTAATCAATACTTATTGTAAAGTTCCTTTGTATTATTAAGATAAATATTTCTGATATGATAATATCAATCTGAATCATCATTATAAAAAGATACAGAAATGTAGGCAGTTCTTCACTTTAATAAATTAAAATTACAGACTATATTAGTTGTTGTTCTGTCTGACAGACATCAAATGGGTAACTAAAAGTTAAACTAAATTTTGTTAATATTTTAATAATGTTAAATCTTGTTCACAATTTTATATTAATTAATCAGTACATTAATTTTAAATTCATTCTTAATCATTACAATTTCTTGAAAAATTTTATTATAATGAAATATATTAACTTGATGAATTATACACAATTTTCCTGATTTTATATACATATAAAACAAAAATGATCATTTTAAACAAATATTTACCTCTTTAAAATAACTGACACTGTAGAGTATTCCCAATTTTGTTAATGCAAGTGCTACAGGAACTTGTGCATCAGCACTTGTCTCAGCAGCCATGTCATAATATCGTTTTGCAAGATGAATATCCTGCTTATGAATTTAAAATAAGCGAACATAAATGGATATCAAAACATAATTTTTGGTCTCATTTATTTTCTAATATATCTACATATATTAGAAATAAATATAGTAAATATATAAATTAAATAAAAAATAATATAATATTACTATAAGCTAATAATAATAAAACTAATAAAAAAATGATAAAATAATTTATTTGCGGATAAAATTATTTACAGTAGATAATATTTTAATAAAATAGCCCTATATAATTAATTGTATCCCAAAAGCTAATTTTAAAAAATTTCATATCAACTCTATAAAATGAACTTTCATCATGACTCCCAAAATACATAGATTTGGATTAGTATAATCATACCTTTCTGAATGAGTAAATTACAAAATACTATACTTAAATGTAATAATAAACCCTCATGAAATGAGGGTTTATTATTATATTTAAGTATAGTATTTTGTAAAATATGATGGGGAATAAAGGTATTTTCTAAATGGTTTCCTTACCTTGGTAAAGATGTGCCATGTCCAGGAGAAATATCATTGGCGCAGCATATTATCATGAAACTTGTCAACAATTATATGTATTTAGATATCAACATTACATGTGACAATTTTTTTACATTTCTTTCATTTCTAAATTCCATACATTTAGTGAAAATCAGCATGCCAGGAACAGTATGATACAATCGGCATGTGCTTTCTAATTTGAAAGCTATAATGAATAAAGAGCCAATTCTGAGCACAGTTGTACTGAACAATGAAAAGTACCCAATGTTAACAATTTATAAATCAAAGAAGGATAAAAATGTAATTGTCATAAGTTTACTTCATAACTCTGTCTTGTTCTTCTCTCAAAAATCTAAACAAAAAGAGGTAACCAGAAATGATACTTTCTAATAATGAAAACAAAGCTGAGCTTCAGTCAACATGCTCAATCAGATGGCATGATTTTATACATAAAGCACATAAAGCTCATCAAGACAATTGGCCTATAACAGTGTTTTATATCATCCTGGATTTAGCGGCTATCAGTGCACATATATTATACAAGGAGATCAGTCAAAAATGCATTCCCAGGTACAAATATCTTCAAAACCAGATAAAAGCACTGAATTAAGAGTATCTAGAGGAAAAATATGACAAAATGTCATTTTGACACTAAGAATTGCAAGAAAATTACTGATATCCGAGTATGTGATATAACTTAACATTTATATATACATACAAGATTCCTTAACTCTATTTTATAGTAGTCCTATGCATTTTTAAAGCAGCTAGAATGATGGCCAGATGGCTGAGCAGTTAAGGTGGCAGCCTACCACTCTGGGGGATCCAGGATTGAATCCAGATGGGTCGAAAAATCCCCAGGAATTTTTCGGGGTGGCTGACCAGATATGTCAACCCCCATCTCTCACCATCTGGCCACCCCATTGTGGGCCTGACTGAACCCATAATGGGCTTGCTAAATGAGACCCTCTTAGTGCCTACAGGGCAAAAAGTTTTTTTAAAAAAAAACTGGCTAGAATGTCATGTTTTATACAATGTGTTAAATACAAAATAGCAGAGCCAACAAAAGAGAGACAAGTGCCAGAAACATGTATCAACACCTAAACAGCAGAATAAAGATGGATGTAAAGCATGGTGTCTATCAAATGCACTTCATTGTGCAATACAGATAAACATAGAAATTATCAGGCCTATTGGTATCAAATTAAATATGGTGGTTGTTTAGATGTAATCAGTTAGATCAAGAGAGAGTAAAATTATTTTTTTATCCTTAGGCATAGACTAAGCATTCTGAATACAATTATACAAATGAGAGTCAAAAAGTAAGTTGCAATTGGATTGAAATTCAAGTAATACTACTTGAATTTGTTAAAAATAAAAAAATTTTGTCCCTTATAAATACCTTCTCAAAAATAGATGTGAAGCTATCCAAATGCACAAGATTTTAATGAAACTAACAAGGAATATTTAGCACATATACTTAGAAAACTAAATGAAAATAATCTTAAACAGTATGGAAATTATAAAGCTCATTGAAGTAAAATTTTATAAAACATATTTCAAATTTTTTAAAGGATCTGTCATAGTAGAGATCTGTTATAGTTATTTTTAAAAGAATTGTTCTTTTTAATTTAAAAAAATATGATGATAATATTCTTTAAGTAGCAACTTAAAATGTATTATTATTTATTTATAAAAGTAATATATAAGATACTTTATAATAAATGAAAATAACAAACCTGTTTCATTCCCAATCCTTGTTCATGCATATAGCCTAAATTAAACATGGCTTGTGCATTATGCTGTTGCTCAGATGCCATTCGATATTGTGCTGCTGCAGATTCATAATCAATATTTGTACCATAGCCATAATAATGATAATCACCCAATTTCACTCTTGCCACAGAATAACCTAAACAAATATATCAAATGACAGAGATCTCATTATTATTTTTTTTTTCTAAAATTAAATTTTAGAAAAAAATTTAATAAGCCTGAAAATGACAGCATGTTATAGCACAAACAAAACATTTTCTTAACAAACTCTCTATTTATTTATTAATTCTTTAATATTAAAATCATTTAATGTCACTATTTTTTGGAAAAGTTTTTTACACCAGTGCAAAAAAGTCTTTTGAAAAGTTATACAGTATTTCAAAACAAGCAATTTTAATGGCTGATTATTGACTTAATGAAAACAAATATACTACATTTAATTAAATGCTTTTGATTTTACTTAACAATAAAAATAAAAAGCTTAGAAACCTTGTACAGCTGCACGATTCCAATATAATAGAGCTCGAGCAAATGTTTCATTCTTTGGAAACAGATCACTTTCTCCTAAAAAATACAGAAATAAAATACTATATTACTGAATTTATCTACCTATCTTTCTATCTTTCTAAAATATTTTAGAATAAATATAAATTTTTGAATGAAATTGAATAAATGAGTGAAAAATATCTTTGCAATAAAGCAGAAAATTTTATTACAAAGTAATAATAATAATAATAATAATAAGTGTATAACCTCTGTCTAAAATGAAAGCTGCATTACTCTGAGCAACTTCATAACCAAGTTCAGCAAGCAAAGCATACTTCACCAATGCTTCACTAATTCTTCCTTCCTTATAATCCATATAAGCCTGCATGAGTTTAGTTCCCCATCTGCCTCGTTCTGCAACATTCTTAAACAACTGGAAATTTAAAAATAATTTCATATATAAATGAGAAATCTATGTATATATATTCAAGTCTTGAAAGTTCTCTCTGGTTTAAGTTGTCTAAATTTAAAAAAATAATACATTTAATCATATTATTAAAAAAACAATAAATCCTCAAATTAAGAAAGCATAATACAACTTCTATTACAAATTTAATCTATTTAAGATCAACGTTTTATAACTTCAAAGTAACAGTTTCTAAGAATTAATAGAATTTACGGGTAAGTAAATGTTATAAATACTTGTTAAAAAAATATTTCATTTCAAAAGTGATTAAACAGCATGCATAATTAAATAAAATTTTTGCTACATCAGCCCATGCAAGTTTAATCTTCAATGATTGCTCAAAAATTTAGAATTAATTGTTAAATAAAGTAAAATAGACAACAGACATGCACAAATATAGACACAGACAGATACACGAAACTATTATTTGAAGTTACCTCTACAGCAGTTTGACAAGACCGAACAGTTCCAGTGCCTGTTGCATGCATTTGGGCTAAATTATAAAATGCTAATACATGTCCAGATTGAGATGCCATGGTATAATATTTAATTGCCATTTTATAATCTCGTTGAGTTCCTAAGCCACCTGAAAATTTCATTTGAAATTATTGAATTATTCATACAGGTAGTAAAATATATACAGTATCTTTATCAATTATAAAGCAAAACCAATAAATGCTTCCAAACTTTCATATAACAAGTTAAAAAATAACTAATTATATATTAACCAACATTAAAATCTGTTTATTATACTCATTAACTAATCAAATATATTATCATTATAAATGAAGATTAGTCATTCTGTATGTATGCAGAGTATTATGGTACAATTATTTAAAAACAAAGATTTCTTTGTTTTTAACTTTGTAATTATTTAACAAAAAAACTTAAAAGTAAAGATTTCTTCTAATACATAAAGTTTTTAATAACATTTGGATTAAATAAAATTAATAAAAAAATAAAAAAGCAGTGATTCTATTGTAACTGCTTTACTGTGCAGAGATGCATTTATTCAGAAATAACTGATAAATATACTAAACTACTGTATTTTCCCCCTTCTTTTTTAATATCAAATCGTCTTTGCTGTTTATATTTTATTTAGACTTATAAAAGCCACATCTATTTAATTCAAGCTAGACTTATTTTGTCAATGGTTGACGTTATATATCAGACATGGGCAAATGCGGCTCTTTTTGAGTTACATGTGGCTCTTGCTGAAAGTGTTAATTTCTGCTTTTTATTATTATTTTTATAATTTTATTTCCACAGTTTTGTGAAAACATGTTTATTAAAAAAATTCAATATTTATTTTATATTATATTTATATTATATAATAAAATCGCGATACAGAATAAAAAAGTAAAGAACTGCGGCTNTAATAATAATATTAATGTTGCTACACTGGTTTAAACCCATATTGTTGTAATATGTTGTTATTGTTATAATTATAATTTTGAGATTAAAGTGGACTAAAAACAATGTTAAATGCCTATGTCTAGTTATTTTTACCAATATAAATGATTTTTGCCAATAAAAAATAATTTGGTTTAAAATATTTTAAAATATTAAAAAATTATACACTTATATGAGATGGATCTAGAAATTATTTAGAACATTTTTTAACTTTTGTAGAATTAAGAATATTATGTATATGTTACTGTGAAAGACCGAAATTAGAGAATGTCGATATTCTCCGGTGAATGTTGACGTATACAAAATATGTCGGTAAAAGACCGAATATTTGGTTATATTATTCTACATTCAAACAATCGCCGGTGTATGTCGACAAACACAGATAAGCTTTGATGGAGGTCAAGAAATTGCTAATACTCTTGAAGAAAATTTGAGCAGTGGCCATAACAAATACCATATTCCAAAGGAAAATATTGAACAGGAGCTGCAACCCACCACATCTTCATATCAAGCCCTGACTGAACAACATGAAGTTATTTCTATAAAAAGAATGGCCGCAAGAGAGAATATTCTACCAAGCAATGAAAATGTTACGAATCTCAAAAAGAAAATTTCCTTCTGCTCAAATTGGTGACACTGTACAAATACAAGTCCCTGATGTCAACCGTGGCTGTACAGATGCCCGAAATGTGTTGGCAGTTGTTGTTGGAATAGAAGACTTAGACTTTTATAAATTAGCAAACAAAAATGGTACCCTCAAGCAGCTTTATTCCTGTAATCAGTTCATAATTTGTAAAGAAAAGTTACTTTACTTTCCATAGATGATATTTCTTCATGATATTTCTTCACAAGAAATATCACTGAGAGAAACAGCTGCAGTTAATTCAAAAAGTGGAGGGCAAGGCTATACAAGCTGTCATTGCAAAAAGAAGTGTTCCACAAATAAATGCAATTGTAAAAGCAAGGAACTCTTGTGCAATTCAAAGTGCCATAACAGTTTAAGTTGTAGCAATAAATAAGATTGTATAACATTAATCACATAATTTATGTGTAAGTTTATTATTGTATTATTTTTTTTAATGATTTAGAATGTACTGTTTGTTTTAGGTTCAACAGTTTATTTACATGTACTGTTACTTAAGCTTTCTCCTATTTTCACGTATTAAAAAGTTGCATTTTTGTCTTAACGTAATAAAGATATTTTTATTTAACATTCATCATCAGTGCATGCTGAATGTCAACATTTGCCAGTGTAAGTGAGAAATAATGATAATGATATTTAGCAAATATTTCGTACATATATGAAACGACTGTGTGAATGATGACATTCACTGGAGAATGTTGACATTCGCCAGATATCGGTCATTCACAGTAACATATACATAATATTTTTATCATTTTAATGCCAAAACTCGTCATATAAAAATAAAAACATTCAAATAATGGTTATTAAAAAGCATTTAGTTATGTTATTATATTAATTTGAATTCATTGTATTAAATATATATTATATAATGCAATATATTATTAGACAAGAACTACTATAAATACATTGGTTTAGATAAATCATAATTACTAAAAGATTTGAAAATTTTCTAAAATCAAATGTATGCAACAGTTATTAAAAACTTAAAATTTATCTTCAAGCATTTCACTTCACAAAACACCATTACTTTCCTGGCTCTGTCATATATATCAGAGAAAATATGGCAATCAGTCAATATGATCCCCCTAGATTTTTACATTTTTGGACTCTGGACTTTGAAATGTTGAGAAGTGCAAAAANTTATCATATTTACTCATAATAATTAAATGGCACAACAGGCTAATAACTGTTATATCAGAAGTACAACTAGGGGAAAGACTAAGCATGTACCCCAGAATGCCAGGTAAAGAGGGCACCAAGAGAAGAGGCTGTGCAATTATTTGAAAACTAAATTATAATAAGGAATAGTTTTTAGGTGTTAGGTAATGGGCAATGTGAAGAAAGGGTTATAAGAAGAAAGGCAAACTAGCAGTGGTGCAGACTGACTCATCACATATTGTTCATGTCCCAAATTTCCAGAACAAGAGGTGCAAGGATCTTAATTTGCCTCAGATGACAGAGAGCTTAGTTGTGCTCCTTGTTTTGTAAAATATTTTAAAACAAAATTTGTCAAGTCTTTATATGATGTTTTGAATTTCCAAATTAAAAACATTTTAATTTAACAAATATAAGAGTTTTAATAAATAAGTTTTTGAATATTTGTTTTAATTTTAATGTGTCAAATTTTATTTACCTGTCATCTTCATTTGTAAAGCTAAACAACCACCAAATTACATCAAGCTACTTTTCTGTGATCATATTTAATTAATTACTAAATAATTTGTTACTAGAGGGAGGCATTAAGTGCCATCTCTTATTAAGTTTAATAATTATAATTAAATTAATATGTATTAAATACTATTTACATGTGTGTAAATAGTATGTATCAAGTTTATAAAAGGAAACTGTATAACTATAAGAAAGACAAAGTCTTTCTTATAGTTATACAGTAAACTATAAACTTTCCTTTTATAAACTTTGATCAGTTTCCTTTTATAAACTTGATACATAGTAAGTCTAGAAATGCTGTATCGGCCACTGTGAGCTGCAATTTGGCCACTGTGGCTCTATATAATCAATAACTTCTAAAATAATTCTTATTCAATTTCTCTGTTTGATTATCATCAATTCATCCCCTTTTTTATGTATTTAACATATCATCAAAAAATTAATTAATGTATGTATATTTGAATTTGAAATTATTTTCAATATTTAAATTGATTCTTATTTTGTAATTTTAATATGAAATTTTTAATTTTTTGATAACAAAATCATTTCATAAATAAATTAAATTCTTTCAATAATTTGAAAAAAATAAAAATACTTCTAAAAATACCTTTTCTGCAGCCATTGTAAAATATTTTAATGCAGTTTCATTGTTTTGTTTCACTACTGGGCTTCCCTCTAAATACATCTGAAACATTTTTTTAAAATTCAAAATTAAATTCTATTAATTTAAAATCAAATTTATACAAGAAAATTTAAATATTATATTTATTATTTTCATCTTTGAATGTTCTGATAGCAATTGTTCAAAACTAAATCCTATGAAAAATATTAACGCACAACTGAATTATATATTTCTTCTTTTTCTTTCTGAAATTTGTATTTTTTCATTCTGAGAGGATTATATTAAAACCAATTTGTTAAATATTTTACTTTTAAATAGAAATACAATCAACTCACCTTAAAATGAACACCGATAAAGCAAATTTTGCCATTGCTCTGGCAAAACACCATTGTCGCAATGTTAATTTTCATGTGATAAAGCAAAATTCAAACATCTGTTTTAGCAGACCATTCTACAGTACTCAGAAAATAGGGGTTAAACTTTAAGAATGTCCACCTCCTTAAATGGATGTGGTCCCATGCAAATATGTGCTAGTTTGCATTTCAGAGATAAATACAGTAATGATAGGTTAAGCTACCTTGTGCCAAATTTAACTCCTTTTTTACTCTTTTGACATCAAAAATATTTTCTACTTTTCAAACAATCTTCAACAGAAGAACATTATGGATTTCTTTTAGCTTTGTTTTTTTAACCACTCTGATATACTTAAATGGCAAATACCATCTCCATGTTTTGTTTAATTTGAAAATCATCTAGAATATTAATTTATCAAACTTTATTTAGTAAATTAATTCAAAATATTATAGTTTAGATATTTCAATTGTTTAATAATCCTTAACTCCTTAAATTATATGACCTTGATCCTGAAAATCATTAATACAAATTTTCAATAAAGCAACTAGTGTTCTCCTAGTGATTCATATTAATGCAAATTGACTGTATATATATATAAAACNAGTTTAAAAACTTTACAGAAAGTTAGAGATTCTAATTTAGAATCTCTAACTTTCTGTAATTTGACACTTGATGCAGGTCCCTAAAAGAGGCTGAGAACATTCCATTTTGTATTTAATTCAAATACATATTATTTGCTGGAAAATTGTAGGCATGGTATATAGAAAAAACACACTTTAATTGCCTGGACATCTGGCCATCAATAATACTATTACCATAAAGAATATAAAATTAAATAAATAAATTGTCATTCTCAAACTAACAAATTTCGTCTAATTTCTCA